AGGTGCCTCCCACATGGACAGCATTTCGGCAGGCTCCACTTCGTGCATGCTGAGGAGCACCTCCCGGTAGCAGCAGGCATCAGGCGGGTAGTGGGAAGGCCTGGCCATATGGTTCAGGTGGCGCGGGGCAATGCCAGCATGGTGGGCGCACAGCGCCACATACACATCCTCCACGGGCACTAGCGGTAGCAGGCAGGCAGCACCCAGCACAGCAGCAGCGGCTGGGGCAGAGAGAACGTAGGCAGTGCCACTGCAGTAGGGCGGGAAGGCAGGTTGTGGGTAGAGCCAGGTGGGCACGTAGTGCCAGCTGTAGGGGTTGCGGATGGATGTCCCGTGTGAACAGACATAGCCCAGATAGGCAGCGGGTGGGCTGGCCAACTGCTCCAGGTGTCGCGCCAGGGCCGGCAGGTTCAGGAAGACGTCATCATCGGTCTTGAGTAGGAAGCGGGCGGTGGGACAATGGGTGGTAGCCCAGCCCAGCATTGCCAGTGTCTTCAGGGTTAGGTTTGTGTAGGTGTCGGCAAAGCGCGCCTGCAATAGGTCCCCATGCTCGGCCGCCTCGCGCTCCAGTGCTGCCTGCTGTGCCACATCTCCAGGCAGCCCCACGGTGAAAACCGTGTGCACACTGTGCCCCCCTGCTACTCTCGCACCCCCCCAACTGCGCTGCACCCCCGCACGCTGGGCCACGTGTCCAGGTGCACTGGCCACCAGCACCAGTAGCCAGGGGGCGGTCTGGGCACAGGGCGATGGGGAAAGCGTGAAGGCATTGGGGGGAGGTTGGAGCAAAGTGTCTGTGTATTGCTCCCCAACACCGCTCACCATGCGGGGGGCCAGCGAGAGGGGGTCCTCACGGCGGCGGCTGGCCAGGAAGCTGAGGACCAAGAGGGTTGCCAGGCCGCACAGCAGCCCGAACAAAAGCTGGTTTGAGCTGCACCGGGAGCGCTTCCAGAGGGGTTACATGGCAGTCGTGGGCAGCCGCAGGGGCTGCGGGAGGGTCTGCAAGAGAGAAGGAGACGTCAGGCCTCTGAGCCCTTTTTCCCTCCCACACTAAGAAGGAAGCCCCATGTGCCACTGCAGGCCAAGGATGGGATGAACAGGCCTCCCCAGCAGCACCTGCGCCCTTCCCAGAGAGCAGCACCTGGCAAGACAGGCCGATGAGCTGTGCGCTGCTATGGCAATAGTGTGGCTGCAGCCTGGCTGGGGTCCAGACAGAGGGCAGCAGTAGCTCTGCAGGCCCACCCAGGCGGCGGCTGGGCTCCGCGGGAGATCATGGCTCACCGACCATCCGCCTTCCTGCCATCTGTG